AAAAAAAAAAAAAAAAAAAAAAAAAAAAAAAAAAAAAAAAAAAAAAAAAAAAAAAAACTATCGTTAGAATCTGCGGAATAATATCAAAATGATTTCACGATTTTCTGCCATTGAAATAAATCTTTATGGTAAGTTTTTTTTTCTTCCTTGAGTCTCGTTTGTTTTGATTTTGAAAAAAAAAAACGAACAAAGGCTGCCACGAAAAGCATACATATGTTGGGCGAAGCGCTAAATGGGTGGACTGTGGAGAGTGTGGGGAGGCACCTTAAAATGAATTTAAAAAAAACCCACAACATAAGTAAGTACACACGCTTGCTTTTTATGACACATGTGTGTTAGAAAAAGCACAACATAGTACACACCGCGCGGGGGCGGAATATGTATACCTGTATTGCAAGTGTCTGGACAATCACAAAAAGCAAAGCAACTCTCTGTTTGAAGGTGTGGTGTAAAAAAAGAGAGAGAGAGAGAGAGAGAGAATGTGGTGTTACTGCGCGTAACTTATCCGTGATGTGATCCAATTATTATTCGATACTCAAATACTCAATTCATTCAGTCAAGGCGAGAGAGTGGGAGTCGCGAGGCGTCCGCGCGCGCCCGGGCATGTGTGGCAGCAGCTAATCTTAGTAGTGTGCTGGCCGCATCGCGATGATAATACATACGTCCAATATCAGTCATTTTCAGACCCAATGATTTCAATTCGCCTGAATCTCAACACAAATCGAAATTCCCCTTGTTCACAAGCATCTTAGCCCACTTAAGTCAATCAGTGGTGTGAATCGCAATTCTTTTTGAGCCGTTGGACACCTTGGACTCTCCAACGTCCAATTCCTGGGCAGAGCACAGCTGTTTACTCGCACGTGTTTGTGTTGGCTAGACAAAGAAAGAAAGACACAAGTATATATATGTATGTATTGTACATAATATATACCTATACCTACATACACACACGCATCAAGCGCATTTTAGGCTCGTCGAAGAAAAAAGAGCAATACTTATTTGGGGATCGTGCCCGAGAACAACGAGAGTTTTGTGAAAAATTATATGTGTATACCCAGTGTACAATCTTCAAAGTCTAACGCTCTCAAAGGCCAACAACAAACAACGACGACGACGACGACGACGAAGACGACGACAACCACAAAAAAGCTAAATAGGAATTTCCTTAGGTCTCTTCGATCGCGCTGCCGTATGAGTGAGTGTGCAGCAGAGAGTGCATGCTGAAGTGTATAGCACTAGCAGCAGCAGGAAGAAGAGGAGAGACTCATGGCCGCTTCTGATCTTCTGCGTTCTAGAGGATGACCGATGATTCTCTTCGTCACCGAGACTGAGTATATTGTTACCCAGGGGCTTGTTATTACACGGAATCATTAGGTAAAGAAGAATTTATCGCATGCGAGTCTTTTCTCGCGTTATTGAGTAACGTGTGTGTATGTGTGTGTTGCGCGTAGTGTGTTAGACGACCGAGATGACGATTTTGTCGAAGAAGAAGCCAAACACGAACAAGGACAGGCGTGCCGACAGCTCGAGCAGCCCCGAGGTAGACGTCCAGGCTGAGCACGGCGCTCCTGGCTCTATCGCTCTTCCCAATAGCTCTTATCAAGTACGTCGTGTGTTTGTTTTTTATTGACATTCCTTTCTGTGTCATAGGTGTTTTTTTTTTTTCCCTTCATCCTTTTCTTTTCTTTGTTATTAAACGCCCGCGGACAGTCTTCAGCATGTTTAATGTTTACGTCACTTTTGGTCGATTTTTCTCTCGAGATTTGATGTCTTGGGGTAATAATTATTTTTCGCCAATACTTGCTTAAATGCATTGTTGATTGATGATTGCTTGCAGTTGGCCAATCGTGACTTTCTATGTAAGCGCATGACTCACCACGTTTTGTCGTCCGTTTTTCTGCGCTAATTAATTGTACGATTGAGTAACACTTGTTTTTTTTTTTTTTTTTTTTTTACTATGCTCTATTTTTGTGCTACCTCTTTGTTATTTCATATTAAAATTATGACGTTGACGTTTTCTTCCATTGACTTTTTTATCAATTGCGTTTTACTTCCATTTTTCTCATCATGGTAATTTATAGTGTAATCAACATTTCTTGAATAAAATTCAGGTTAGAGGAGGTAATGGTTTCTCAGTAGACTTACATGCAGTTCAAAATGACCACAGTTCTAATTCATTAGTTCTTGGTGCTGGCAGCTCATACGAGGCAAGTTGAATCTTGTTTAAGCCACTTAAATAATCTTCAACCTTACTGGTACACATATATAATAAATACTCTAATTTTGTGGTAGGCAAACGATTGTCAAGAAGGACACTTTGAGGAAAATGGAAACTCCAGTCATGGAAAAAGACATCGCAGAAGGGCAAGTCCTCATAGGTAAGATTTTGAAATTTATGTATTATATTTATAGCTTTCCGTGCTACATTTTTTACAATCTTAGTGGACACAGCAGAAGTTCACGTAATAAAAGAGAACGTGAAAGAGAAAGAGGGCGCAATACTGGAGCTGTCAGTGTAGAACTTGAAAGAGAAAGAGAACATGAAAGACAATCCACTCCACCTATTGCTTCCAGCAGCAGTGGTACTTTGCCAGGTTTGTTTATTTCATTAGAATTACAAAATATTTGTAAATGTGAATTCATGGATTAATTTCACCTTTAACAGGTGGGGACAGTACTGTTATGTCAAACAGTAGAATGTCCATGGTTGCTGCAGCTGCTAATCTTGAAAGAGAACTAGCTAATGGGTATAACAGTGGTGATGAATATACCGGCAGAACTGGAAATAATTTATCAGCTACCGAGTGGCAAGAGCGTGATAGGTGGTTTGAAAAACGATTGAGAAAAATCGGTTTCAACATTAAAAAAATGGGAGAAGATGGAGCATGTTTATTTCGAGCTGTTGCTGATCAAGTTTATGGAGATCAAGAAATGCATGGGGTCGTGAGACGGCATTGTATGGACTATATTGTGAGTATTTTCTTTACTGAGATATTTCACGAAAGTTCATAAACATAATACTTGAACGTAATAAACATTTTCAGGCTGGCAATCAAGAATTTTTCTCACATTTTGTTGCTGAAGATTTCACTGAATACGTCGATAGGAAAAGACAAGAATACGTTCATGGCAATCACATAGAAATGCAAGCAATGTCAGAAATGTACAATCGCAGTATCGAACTATTCTGTTACAGTACCGGTAATGTATTTTTTTTATTATTATTATTATTTTTCAACTCGTGGATTAATAATTTTGATTTTTCATCTCAGAGCCAATAAACATATTTCACGGAGTTCAAAAAACTGACAATGAACCTATTCGGCTATCCTACCAACGAGGCAGTCATTACAATAGCATTGTAGATCCTTATAAAGCAACAGTTGGTGTTGGTCTTGGCTTACCAGCATTTAATCCTGGTGCTGCTGACAGAGCCTTGGTTTCCGATGCTGTAAGACAAAGTGAAGACCTGCACATAGAACAGGTAATTTTGATTTAATATTGTAACTTTGTTGATAACTATATTATTCCAACAAATAATAAACTTTGAATTTTGTGCAAAGACCATGTTAGAAGACAAAATCAAAGCAACTGATTGGGAGGCCACTAATGAAGCGATCGAAGAGCAAATTGCTAGAGAAAGTTATTTGCAATGGCTGCGTGATAATGAAATGAGAAAAGCAGTAAGTAATTTTTTTTCAAAGTCAATCTGATTAAATTATACAAATGGCACCTACTTGTAACAGATACGCAATCTTAAAAAAATAAATAAATTTTCTACATTTGCTGCAGCGATCTTCAAGCAGTAGCAGTTCGAGCACAGTGACGAGCGCTCAAAATAGTCATTTTCACTCTCATAGCAGTCGCCCACAACAAAGAAGTCACTGTTCATCTCCTACTACCACAAATCAATCAAACCAGGAATCAATACGCAACTCTCCCAAGGTTAGTTTTGTAATTCTAAGGAGAAAACCTGTGCTTTCTGCATAATAAATCACAACACGTAATTATTTTAGTCAAACGATAATGCGCGTCATAACAAAAGATCACCACCACATCAATCAAGTTCTGGGGCCGCGTATTACCCGCCTGAACACAAAGCTGCTTCTCCTGTACCACAAGAGCCAGTTCCCGGTAGCAGTAAAGAAACAAATTCACTGCCGGAAAGTTCATTTTTTAATCGGCTTCCTCCAGAAGTGTTCGGTAAAACTTGATCAATTCAACATTACTCATACAGCTGTTGATACTATTATTCCTAGCTTTGATAATTTACTCAGGTCTAACTGATTGGGAAGATAGCGATATTTTATCAAAGGTGCTGGCAACTTCACAGCAGGAGTATCTAGATAGTCTAAAACAGTCACGCAACGTGGAGAGCGATTCTAATGACAAAACGGAGCCCGCGAATAGTTGAATAATGTACACAACGCGACGATATAAATATATATAAATTTATAAATATATACATATGTATGCATACAAATATGTCTTCTCGTTTCAAGAGAAGTCAATTTAAGAGAGAAAAATTCGGATTAAAGGATGTATACATTTTTACGTAATAGAACGGAATCTATTGCAAACGTCTTATCTTAACGCTCTTCATAACATGCGTTGTAGTTCCCACTCATTATTTTCGATGAACTCCCAATTGCTCTTTCTTTTTTACTTCTCGATTTTTGTATAGGATAAAAAAAACCTACGTAGGGCGATCTAGGTAGATTGTTTTGTTGATTCCCTGATAAAATTTCTCTATAAATGTATTCCTTCTCTGAAAATAATCTTTTTTTTTTNCTTCTCAATATTTCTATACAATCCTTCTTTCCTTCCTTTTTTTTTGTTAAAAAACTAAAATTTTTTACGAACATGCAAGTATAAGTTTACATTTTTATTGTTTAAGCCGCAAGGTAACAATAAATTGGGGATGATTGTTGATTAACTTTCATAAATATTTAAAGTTATACACGAATATTTAGCAAGTTTTTTGTTTAAATTAAACTTTGATATTTGTGGAATATTTAACCTTATCCTATGCCTATAGTTAAAACGACAAAGTATATAATTATATAATATAATGTTAAACTAAATTAATGAACATATTCAGTGTTTATAGTGTTAAAATCTTAAAAAATATATCGCTCAAATTTACCAACAAGGAACATAATTGGGCTGCCATGATTTTCCTAGAAGTGAGGAAACTTTTGTAGACACTTTGGTTACGTCGTATTTTTCGTCTTCGAGCAAAGATGTATCCAAGACGTACACAATTTGTAGACGTTTGCGACAAAGGCTCACGAATTCAACAAAACCAGAGCAACTGTAACAGGTAAAATTAAAAAAAAAAAAAAATGCGTGTGCCGTCCTCCAATCGATTTTTCGATTAAAATTTTTTTATGTATCTATCGCGATTTAATTTTACGTGATTTTAATCTGTTCAATTAAAAACGTTGTGTTTTATTTATTTGTAAAGTAAACCCCAATGAATAACGAAACGTATATGTACACACCGTGCTATTCGAATTCCGAGCGACTCGTACAGCTCGGTCAAAGTACACAATACACCTTTGCAGGTGTTGTTTATTTCATTGACCTTACCCACAAAAGTGTAAATCCAAACAAACTCTCATACTCGAGTAGACCTGTGTTATGCACATACGAGGCATTTGGCGAAACAATTGCTCGCTATATTAGTTTGGTTTTATCCGTGGTACCTATCAAGTGATCGATTCAACATGAGCGCCAACTTGCAAAAGGCAAATTTTGAGTTTAAAGCCTTGCTTGGCCAAGGAAGCTTTGGGTAATAATCAAGTTATTATTTTTTTTTCGCATCCCATACATCTGCATCGATTGAGTATTTGTTTAATTTTGGCCTTGTGTTCTAAAAAAAGGCAGGTTTATCTGGTGAAACGTCTCAGAGACGGTAAAGAGTTTGTCATCAAGCAGCAAGAGAAAACCGTCAACAGTGAACTGATAACCAAGGTAAATCCTCATAAGTTATAGTAAAAAAAAGAAAAAAAGCCTCGATTTCCCATGTGTAAACACGAATGATTATTGTAATGGTTGAATTTCGATCGTATTCGAATATGTTTTCCAAGATGACAACGTCCGAAGTTCAGTGTTTGCAAGTACTTCGTCATCCCAACATTGTTTCGTACTACGGGGCCTGGCAGGAGTCCGATAATTTTTACATTCTACTCGAGTACGCTCCTCGTGGCACGTTGAAAGATCTCTTGAACCAGAGAACTGAACCGCTTACGGAAAAAGTATACAACAATATGGCTCTTGGAATTTTTCGCTTTGTTTTTTCGACATTTCATTCAATTATCGATTGCAGGACTCGCTTTATCTATTTGCCCAAGTCGTTCTGGGTGTGCACCATATTCATTCGAAAAATATATTGCATCGTGATTTGAAACCCGAAAACATCATGCTTACCGGGCGTATGGGCGACATCGTTAAAATCGGCGACTTTGGCCTGTCGAGAGAATTACAGGGGTAAAGGCCTGATTTACCAAGAAATGCTTGTGTATTATGTGTATTGATCCATTGTTGATTTTCATACCTTTGTGTAGATACGACAACAAGAGTCACGCAGGGTCATACTATTACATATCTCCTGAAATGTTAAAAAGGGAGCCGTACGATTTTAAAAGCGACATTTGGAGCATGGGAATCATCTTTTACGAGATGCTGTCCAAAGAACTTGCCTTCCCGGCCAAGGTGACTATAAATTCAATGTTGTGCCTCGTTAGGAGGATATAGTTAATTTTTTTCAACCCAACATTTTTACGTATACAGGACATAACGGAAATAACGGACATGATATGCAAGGAGGAGCAGAAAAGATTATTCACAAAAGTTGAAGTATCCGTCGAAACCGAAATCATCGTTTACAAGATGCTGCTGCGAGATCCTGATAAGAGACCTTCGACGAGAAACTTGCTCCTGAATCCAAGTATGGTAAGGTACATCGCAAAGGTTTATTTGAATTTGGGACGAGCCTACGCGGTCCCGCCCGAAGAGCTCAGCGTCCAAATGTTTCTACCGTACATCAAACCTCCGTTTCAAAAAACGTAGGGCAAGTCGTTTTTTCCTATATTTCTGATTTTTTTCGTAATTTAATTTATTCTACTTAAAGTAAACGAAAACACACACGTATACCGAGTGAGAGGAGTTACGAGTAATAAATAAAAAATATACGTATATTTCTCATGATGAGTTCAAGCGAATCATCAATAAATTACAATTTTCGTGATAATAATTAAGTATTATAGGTACAAACAATAATTTTATGTTATAATATAATCTCAAGAATTCAATTGCATGTGAGATAAGTGTGTAAAATTAATTATAATTCTAGCGAGCCCGTTGATGATGATGATGGTTTCGCCGTTGGTGGCCGTACTAAAAAAAATATATATATATATAAATAAATGAAACAAAGTTTTTAGTAACAAGTTACATTGTTTGTTGATATTTTTTTTTTTTAAACAATCGACTGTTGAATTTTAAATAAATTTTAAACAATTACTCGAGCAAGATGACGATTGGAACTTGATGTCGTCGATCGCGAATCCGCCGTTGCTGGCACTTCCTTCCAATATCAGCCGATACGGCGAGCGAGCCTCTATAGCTACTTGCGCCCAGGTCCACGAAGGTCTCGGATTATTGAATCCTTTCGCGGTCAGCGACCATATCTAGTAAAAATTACAAAAAAAAAAAAAAA